CCTTCTAATCTCATCCAGCCTTTCGTCTCGTGTGCTCGTCTCGTTCGTGTACACATAGCAAAACCCCGCGTGTCGTTCGAAAATCGCGACGAGCCTTAAGCCTTAAGTTGCTCGCTGAGAAGCATCGGCGATTGACGCTTAATCATTTCGGGCATTGGTGCTCTAGAGATCATTGAGAATTTCTCTGAAACAAGCATGTATATTAATTTAGAACATCTCTCTCTCTCTCTCTCTCTCTCTCTCTCTCTCTCTCTCTCTCACGATGAAATAAGTCGCGCGTAATCTTGTCAAACTCGTAGATAACAGATATGCCTAACAGTCTAACAGATATGCGCTCAATATGCGTCTATCGCTTGCCTATCTCGACGTTCGCTCGACTTGACTTCTGTTTCGAGTCTGTGTGAATGAGTAGTCGTCGGAGTATTTCGCCGGTTGTGTCCTATTTTCCTCGAAGACAATTTCGCATCGCGTGGAAAACTTATTCACGTGACGGAACACAGACGCGCACGCATCAGCAAAATGGCGCCGGCTACGTCGCCTGTGACAAGGTCGCGCCTGTGTGCTCGCCTCGGCGATAAGTCGCTGATAATCGCGAACGCGTCGGCCAATGTGTCGTTTGTCGATCGCGCCGATTACTCCGGGGCTTCGGCTGTCCCCGCCAAAGCGAAAGCCTGGTGTGTACTCGAGGGATTTATCAACGACGAGAGAGCGTACAACAGTGCGCTTTCTAAGTGTGTCGAAACGCGCGTCGATAAGTTTTCTATTCTACGTTTAGATGCTTTCCATGATTATTCTTTAGAAAACTAACCGTTCACACTGGCAGATAGTCGCGTGTCATATCAGTGAAAGAAATCTTTAACCTTGACGGAATCTTTAACCGTGAAAGAATCTTTTAACCTTTCGTACGCTCGAAATATTTCACTTGTGCGATTCATTTGTGTGTACCTGTTACGTCGAAACTGTTTCGAAACACGTGCTCTTTCGCCATTTTGTTTTCCCTGCGTCACATAAAGAGTCTACATAAAGAGATTCACAAAAAAAATGCACACATACACGGGCGCGCGCGCGCGCGCGCGCAATATCGGACATATCGGAACCAGCGATATATACATATCAGAAACAACTAGGCACATGAAAATTTCTGTCTGTCGAAAACTTTCCATCTCTTTTTCTTTTACCTCTTCTACGCGCTTACATTTTTAATACGCTTCTAGTACGCGTATCCGTTTATCGCAACGTCATCTTTCGAGACATATAGCGTGTCTGTAACTGTTAAAATCATCGGCTGCCGAAATTAACGATGTGTGACGAAACGTCAGGCGATTGAACGTGCCCGTTAATCGCTAGACTGTCGGCGACTATGCTAGTCAAAGCGACTATTCTGTATTAACGCACTCGAAAAGAGTATCTAAAGAACGACTTACCCGTCGCGGATCGTCTAAACTCTTAATTTACTCACGTCTAAACTCTTAATTTAAATACTCACGTTGCTCCTTCATCGACCATATTAACATATTAACATATTAACATATCCTTTAGTTGAAAGATTCGTCCCCGGAAGGACGAATGCTCGATGTTGGTAGCATTTCGTGAATATTTCCTTTGGAAAATTCGCAACCGAGCTTTGAAAATGAGGCCCCGAGAAGCATCATTAGGGGGAAATGCACACATACACACAGAGAGAGAGAGAGAGAGAGAGAGAGAGAGAGAGAGTTGTCGCGCTTCCAGAGGAAAGATACTTTCCACGAAAATAATCCTGGAAGATAGCGACCGAGAAGTAAAATTGCACGACCCACATATACCGCGTGTCGCGTTTGTCGCGGTTGACCCTTTTTCGATGAGGCAAAGTTCGTCGTCTCGGTACGATCCTGACCTAACGTTCCCGACTTATCCCGGCGATCGTGAGAATTCGGACCGGCACTTGACTAGAGCTCCGAGTCACGCCCGCGCGAATAGTCGGGTTCTCCCGCAGCCGAAGAGAAGAAATGTGGTCAAGGTCACGAATGGCTGCGCGCTCGCGCTCGCGCTCGTGACGTATGAACCGCTCGTCGCCGTCGCCCTCGCCACCGCCACCGCCACCGCCACTGCCACCGCGCCACCGTCGTCGCCGTCTTCTTCGAGGTTGAAATTTACATCGCGAATAGCCGCCGATCTCTCATCTCCCCAGCTCTCCTCCGCCTCACTCGCCGAAAATCGGTTAGTCACACTCGTCACGTTCCGCGCGCGTCCATGCCTCCATGCTATCCAGATCATAAATTCCATCGACGAGTCTGTAGTTCTCTCTCTCTCTCTCTCTCTCTCTCTCTCTCGTGCGCTCTCGCGCCCATCGGCTACCTCATTACGGCGTGTTAGTGCACGCACGTGCACATGGTGTCCAAGCGCCGCTCTGTTTGCGGCCACGTTTCACCCTTGACCTCCCGACGAGGAAACTGCCAGAGAACCGAACAACTCTTTCGCTTCAACACATCAACAAGCTTTGCTATACCGACATCGGATACCGACACGCGTGCGCGAATATTATATATCATATATTTTTCTTCTTTTTTTGTTTTTCTTTGGTGAATGCGTTACATTCTATTTACGGTACGAAAACGACGCAATCTCGCGAAACTAAGTTAACGACACGTGTTCGCTGTGGTGATGAAACATCGTGTTAGAATGGAAAATTGTCGTTCTTTTGCAAAAGTGTCAGTATATCGCAAATATTTCAAATTCGCATTCCGGTTCTCTGGAGAAGAAAGCAGGAAACAGCATATACATATCTGGATATTGCGGTGTTATTTACTTAGATGAGGAGTCTGCGGTCGAGAGACTTTTGCCCGAAATGAATCTTTCGAA